GGTGGTGGAGCTTTTCCATTCGTTTTCTGAAAAATTTCAGCTCTTCCTAGCTGAAACCGAAAGGAAAATCGCCCTGAAATTTCAAACAAGTGTGATGGCCATCTGCACAGGTGTACCCGGGACTCTGGGAATAGCAGGGAAGGGTGAATAAGGCGATTCCCTGGACCTTTCGGAATTCCAGGGGGTTTCCTACACCTCCGTCAACCCCAGCGGGCAACAGTACCGGTGGGCCAACTGACCCCGGCCCCTGAGGGTAAAGTGACCTGGGTCGGCCCGAAAAAGGGTAAGAGTGACACCACACAGCGTCACCTCGTACACCCCCCCCCACTTTTAAATAAAAACACGTCTCGTAGTCAGGCACCGCCCAACGCGCCCTCCTCCAAAATAACGCTCCGTCAAACAGAGCGCCCCAGGCCGCCACCAGCAACGGGACTTGGGGTCGGATGCAGGACAGCGGGCTCGATAAGGAGAAAGTTGGCGTGACAACAGTCCAGGAGCCTTGGGGCGGGTTGGGGGACTCGTGATAAAGAGTCCCACATGCAAAAAAAAAAAAAAATGAACCCACGGGGAGAGTCGCGGCGGGGAGGCGGCGGGGGATGCCGGAGGCGGCCGCTCTGGCCTGCTCGCCTGACCCGCCGACCGGGACCCAGTAACAGCCGAGAGACGCCCGCAGCGGCGCGGCCACCCACTGACCTTGTAGCCGCCCCAGACGAACATGTGGCGCCCATCGCTGACGGCTACGTGGCCGCTGCGCTCGGCGGGGCAGGCGAGCTCCATGGACTCGTAGCCCTCGTAGGCTGGCCCTGGCAAGTCGTCCGCCCGCAGATCCTCGTTGCCATCTGCCATCTTGAGGCTCCACTTTTGTCCACCAACTATCCGGATTCACGCCCGCGTGGGGGGGGGGAAGACAAAGAAAAGAAGACAGACATGCACGGCGGCGAAACGCACGGCGTTAAGGCGGCCCCCTCGCCGCTCGCGCCCGCCCAGCCCCCCTCGGCGAGGACGGCCTCCCGGTGGGCTGGGCAGCGGGGTCGCTGGCGGGGGAGAGGGCGCCGGGAGGGGGTCGGCCCAAGGCCGGCACCAGCTTCCAGCCCGTCCGCCCCGCCTCCAGCTGGTTCTAGCCGCTGACGGCCCTTGTTTACGCCGCGGAAGGACCGCCCGTTCCGCTGACGCCACTCATCGGGCGCCGGAAGTGCGGCCAGCGTTCTGCGGTCCAGCGCCCGTCCGCCTGCCGCCCCGCGGGGATCCGCTGCGAGCCACACGTCAGGGTCCCGCTGAAGGCCTGGGCTTTGAATCTCTGTGACAGAGGGAGTTCCAAACACGCTCCAGCCTCCTTTCATTCAGGATTTTAGCCCTATTTTCAAAAAAAAAAAGAAATGCACTCCCCGAGAAGTTCCACTTGTTTGATGGAGGAATATTCTCAAAAGGTTTACAGCCTGGAAAGTGGTAGTGAAATTGCTCAATTGGTATGTTTCTGGTCTCTGCTTCTGCAAGAGCGCGAAAACTCTGCTCTATGGACAGGAGGGCTATCGGTCGCCCTCCCACATCCCGCCGGTGTAAGGATCTCGGCCCATACCCTAGGCTGGACAGACTCAGCCGGACAGACTCACTTTTAAAAAACATATTTCAGCTACTCCAGCTACACTCTAAGCAGAACTTGCCGGTAAGACAGTAAACGCCTAGCTTTACAAGAAATGGGTTGCAACAGAAATATTAAAAATGTTTTACAGAAGTAGTCTTATCACAACTAGATTGGACCATTTCACAAAAACTAACAGCTCTTTTTGCTTCTGTACACCTGCTTTGCTTCTGCTGGGGAATAAAAGGTTAAAGAACAACATTCCTCAGGCCTTGCAGTTCCCCCTTCCTCTCCCGGCCTTCATGTTAACATTTCAGGAGGCCTTGAAACAAGCTAACTTTATCAGCAACATTTCAGGAGGCCTTGAAACAAGCTAACTTTATCAACCCGGTCACTATGTACTGTTAAGACACCTGGACATAACAACACTGTTGCAACAGCGGAATGCAGTTTTAACTAAAATAACTAAACGTTCTTTTTGGCTTCTGTAATTTACTTTACGTTTAACCCCCACCTTATAAAAACTCTACCCACTGAGACCTCGGGACCGGTTTCTCCTTAGTCGGAGGGGCGGTCACTGAGCTCAGCTTAATAAAATCTTAAGAACTTTAAACTTTAATTTGACATCCAGCCTCTTTATTAATTATCGGGACCCAACACCGGATGACTTCTCTGCTTCCCCACTGAGGCGCCCCGGGGGTGCGTGTATGGCTCCGGGGACTTCGCGGCACCCCCTTACATGGATAATTACTCGAAGTATTCAAAACCGATCACCGCCAAGCCTTTTAGGGGAGGATGGCGATTCCTGCTCACACAGACACTGTTTTACATGTTATATGATACATTTCAATTTGGTCAAGAGAAAATTAAGAATTATTATAACCTAAATTTGATTCCTCACCTGTAAAATAGGGCTGGACTAGAATACATTATAAATCCCTAATCGAATGGTGGTGCCTCTATACTGGAATGTATTGGTGAGGGGAGTGCACTTTATTATCCTCTTTCTCATCTTCATGCTGGTATCACTAGAAAGAATACTTTGAAAAACAACAAAAGGCTTTCCTCAACGAAGTTTTCATAGCCTGAAACTCCTTCCGTCACCTCTGCCTGTATGTTTACAACTTATCAAAAATTGTGCTATGGGTGACAGCAGTATGCATACATTAGAAAAGAAGAAAGACCTGAAACCAATTATCTGAAGTTTCCATCTTAGGATACTAGATTTTAAAAAGCAAATTAAGTCCAAAGTAAGCAGAAAAATAAAAACTAGAATGCTATCAATGAAATTGATAGAGAAACCAATAGAGAAAATCAACAAAACCAAAAGCTGGTTCTTTGAAAAGATCAATAAAATCAATATGCTTTTAGGCAGGATAGTTAAGAAAAAATGAGAGAAGACATAAATTACTAATATTAGAAATGAAATAGGGCCATCACTACTGATGCCATGGACATTAAGAGGATAATATGAGCAACTGTGCTCACATATTTGATAATGTAGATTATATGGACCAATTCCTTGCAAGACACAATATGCCAAAACTCACATAAGAAGAAACAAACAATCTGAATAGGCCTATATCTATTAAAGAAATTGAATCACTAATGAATAGCCTTCCAAAACAGAAAGCAATAAGCCCAGATGGGTTCACTAATAAGTTCTGACAAACATTTAAGGGAGAAAGTATACCAATTTTCTTCAATCTTTTTTTTTTTTTTAAGATTTTAATGGGGAATTGGAGGAGGGGAACAGCGTTGGGGAACAGACAAGTTGCTGTCCTTTTTGTTCTTCAGTTTAGTTAGTCTAGTTGTGGAAGACGTCGCTTCACTATCCCATATTGGTATTATCATTGCGCTTTTCCCAGGTGAGGCAGTCACTTGCCAGCCATTGGACCGCCGCTCACACCAGCTGCCAGCCACTCATGGTAGCTCACGGCAGCCCACTGCAGCAGGGGCTGCAGCCTACACTGTCGCTGGCGACTCACAGCAGCCCAGCTCCAGGTTGAGCTGTTGCTCACCATCTTAGCTGTAGTGCAGTGTCACTGGCCCTCATGTGGGATCAGAACCAGGGCCCTGCTGCTCAGAGCTGGCGTCCCAAACCAACGCTTAACCAATGCGCCACTCGGCCAGTCCTTTTCAATCTTTTTTAGAAGATAGAAGAGAGAATATTTCCTAACTCATTCTGAGGCTAACCTTACCCTAATACCAAAACCAGACAAAGACATCACAAGAAAACAACAGGCCAATATCTCACATGAACATAAATGCAATAAAACAAAAACAAAATTTTTAACAAAATATTAGCACATAAAGTCCAAAAAATTTTAAAAAGAATTATATACCACAGCCAAGTGGGATTTATCCCAGTATGCAAGGCTGGCTCAACATTCAATAATCAACTAATATAATCCATCCTATCAACAGGCGAAAGAAGAAAAATCACATGATTCTATCAATAGATGCAGGCAAAGCATTTAACAACATCCAACACCTATTCATGATAAAAACTCAGCAAACTAAGAACAGAGAGGAACTTGGTCAATTTGATAAAGAATATCTACAAAAAGCTACAGTTAATATCATACTTAATGGTGATAAACTCAAAGCTTTCCCACTAAAATCAGGAATAAGGCAAGGATGTCACCACTCTTTTAAACACCTACTGGATTCCTAGCTAATGCAGTAAGACCAGAAAAGGAAATAAAAGGTTGAGACAGAATAAATAAAACTGTCTTTTTTCATAGATGACATGATCATTTATATAGAACATTGCTACGTCCAGTGCAGCAAGGGTGGTGGCGAGTGAGAGGGGCGGCGAGAGTTAAAGAAACACAAGAGACAAGGATAGAGTTAAAGCAGGGCCAGGGGGCTGCAGCCTCTCTGGGACTGAGCCCCTAATCAGGCCAACGTGTAGCTTTTATTAAGAAACTTCAAAGTGAAACTTGTTTTTTCTAAAGTCCTTGTGATAAGTGCCTTATGGCTAATTTCCACCAACTAGCCCCATTGTATTCCAACACCTGCTGTGCCTTCATACACCCCCCACACACACACACACACACACACACAACCCCCAGGATGGTGCAGCTGTACTGTGGCCATGAAAATAAGGGAGATAACTGACATCACTCTGTTGGGTCTCAGTGTTCCTAGACACTCCCTTGAGGAGGAAACTTGACCAATATCATTCCAATGGGTCTCAGCGTTCCGAGACACTTCCTCGTGACCTCGTTAGGTCAGGGGTTGGTGTGGGGGGGCAGTCGAGGATGAAGCTGTCTGGCAACAGAACATCCTTTAAAAAATTACTGTAGGCCCTGCCGCTCACAGCACTGTGGAGCCGCGTCCCCAGCTCTGCCCCTCCTGCCCCTCCCCCCAGCGCACCGGCCCTACCCAGCGGGCAGGCCGGCGCCGGCGGGCTACAATGCGGACCGTTTGCGCTGCCCCCAACTGCACGCGGAAGAGCACGCAGTCGGACCTGGCCTTCTTCAGGTTCCCGCGGGATCCAGCCAGATGTCAGAAGTGGGTGGAAAATTGTAGGAGAGCCGACTTAGAAGATAAAACACCTGATCAACTAAATAAACATTATCGATTATGTGCCAAACACTTTGAGACATCTATGATCTGTAGAACTAGTCCTTACAGGACAGTTTTTCGAGATAATGCAATACCAACAATATTTGATCTTACCAGTCATTTGAACAATCCACATAGCAGACACAGAAAATGAATAAAAGAATTGAGTGAAGATGAAATCAGGACACTTAAACAGAAAAAAAGTAAGTGATAGTGTTACTGACTGAACTTCTGAATGCCTTTTAAAAAGGCCTGGACCTGTTGATGAAACTTCTGAACAGGAACAAAAACATAAAGAAATAAATAACAGCAATGCTCAGAACCCCTGTGCAGAAGAAGTGGGTGAAGAACTGGATGAAGACATTTTGCCTTTAACCCTTGAAGAGAAGGAAAACAAAGAATACTTAAAATCTTTATTTGAAATTTTGATTCTCATGGGAAAACAAAACATACCTCTGGATGGACATGAAGCTGATGAAATCCCAGAAGGTCTCTTTACTCTTGATAACTTTTAAGCACTACTGGAGTGCCGGATAAATTCTGGTGAAAAGGTCCTGAGAAAGCGCTTTGAGACAACAGCAGTCAACACATTGTTCTGTTCAAGAACACAGCAGAAGCAGATGCTAGAGATCTGTGAGAGCTGCATTCGGGAAGAAACCCTCTGGGAAGTGAGAGATTCGCACCATTATCACTGACGATGTGGTGGACATAGCAGGGGAAGAGCACCTGCCTGTGTTGGTGAGGTTTGTTGATGAATCGCATAACCTGAGAGAGGAATTTGTGGGCTTCTTGCCTTACGAAGCTGGTGCCGAAGTTTTGGCTATGAAATTTCATACTATGATAACTGAGAAGTGGGGATTAAACATGGAGTATTGTCGTGGCCAGGCTTACATTGTGTCCAGTGGATTTTCTTCCCAAATGAAAGTTGTTGCATCTAGGTTTTTGGAGAAATATCCCCAAGCTATCTACACACTCTGCTCTTCTTGTGCCTTAAATATGTGGTTGGCAAAATCCGTGTCTGTTGCATTAGGAACAATTGAGGAAGTTTGTTCTTTTTTCCATCAATCACCACAACTGCGTTTAGAGCTTGACAGTGTAATTTCTGTCCTCTTTCAGAACAGTGAAGAAAAGGGTAAAGAACTAAAGGAAATTTTCCATTCTCAGTGGACAGGCAGGCACGATGCTTTTGAAATTTTAGTGGACCTCCTACAAGCACTCGTTTTATGTTTAGATGGTATAAATAGTGAGACAAATGTTAGATGGAATAACTGTATAGCTGGCCAAGCATTTGTACTCTGTAGTGCAGTAACAGATTTTGATTTCATCGTTACCATTGTTCTTAAAAATGTTCTATCTTTGGGCCGGCCGAGTGGCGCGATGGTTAAGAACTGGCTTGGGACGCCAGAGGGCCGCGGTTTGGATCCCACATATGAGGGCCAGTGACACCGCCCTCCACAGCTAAGATGCTGAACAACAGCTCAACCTGGAGCTGGGCTGCTCTGAGTCACTGGCGACGGCATAGGCTGCAGCCCCTGTGGCAGTGGGTTGCCATGGGCTACCGTATGTAGCCAGCAGCCAGCGTGAGCGGCCAGCAGCCAGCGTGAGCGGCCAGCAGCCGCAGTGAGCGGCCGTCCAGAAGCCGGCGACTGATGTGCCTCACCCGGGAAGAGCGCAATGATGGTGCCAACTTGGGCCAGTGAAGCAACGTCCTCCACAACTAGACTGAAGAGCAAAAGGACAGCAACTTGTCTATTCCCCTTCCCCCAATTCCCCAGCACTGTTCCCATCCCCCAATTGCCCAATAAAAAAAAAATTTTTTTTAAATCTTTAAAAAAAAAAAAGTTCTATCTTTTACAAGAGCCTTTGGGAAAAATCTCCAGGGGCAAACATCTGATGTCTTCTTTGCAACCAGTAGCTTGACTGCAGTGCTGCATTCACTGAACGAAGTGATGGAAAATATTGAAATTTATCACGAGTTTTGGTTTGAGGAAGCCACCAATTTGGCAACCAAACTTGATATTCAGATGAAGCTCCCTGGGAAATTCCTCAGAACTCAGCAGGGTAACCTGGAATCTCAGCTGACCTCTGAGAGTTACTATAAAGAAGCTCTAAGTGTTCCAACAGTGGAACACATTATTCAGGAACTGAAAGATATATTCTCAGAACAGCACCTCAAAGCTCTTAAATGCTTATCTCTGGTACCCTCTGTCAAGGGACAGCTCAAATTCAGTACATCGGAGGAGCACCATGCTGTCATGTATAGAAGTGACCTACCCAATCCTGACACACTGTCCGCTGAGCTGCATTGTTGGAGAATCTAGTGGAAACACAGAGGGAAAGAGAGAGAGCTTCCATCCACCATTTATGAAGCCCTCCACCTGCCAGACATCAAGTTTTTTCCTAATGTTTATGCATTGCTGAAGGTCCTATGTATTCTTCCTGTGATGGTTGAAAATGAACGCTATGAAAATGGGCGAAAGCGTCTGAAAGCATACCTGAGGAACACTTTGACAGACAAAGGTCGAGTAACTTAGCCTTGCTTAACATAAATTATGATATAAAATATGATCTAGATTTAATGGTGGACACATATATCAAATTCTGTACAACTAAGTCACAGCTTCCTACAGATAATTCAGAAACCATTCAGAATACCTGAGAGACTTTAAAAATATGCTGTTATTTTTGGTATTTAAAAAATACGTTAAGAAATTTGAAAACATCTTATAGAAAAGTGGTAAGGTGTGCATAGGCCACTTAACCACTAAATATCTTGACCTATAGACCTCCCATTGAGTACATTAGCCATTGATAATCTGCCTGTTTAAATGGTCCCTGTTTGAACTCTCATGCTTTGGAGAACTAACTGTTTTTCCAGAAGATAGCACTGAAAGTGCCATGTTACACTTCTGTGTGATCTGCTGATGGCACTTTGGAATTGTTTTAGTTAAGTCAGTTTAGGCATAACATTTATTATCACTGTGGATCCAGTTGTTGGGTATTAAGTTATCAGTTCTTTGAAGAAATACATTTTGAGAAGGTGTGGGAGGAAGGAATGCATTTTATGAAATGTTACAATGAAGCTCATGACTAACCTTTGAATAGCAGTTTTTAGTATGCAGTTAAAACCCTGTAATGGACAGTTAAGGGAATTATCAGACAGTGAAACACGTGAACTTGCCAAAAAAGGGTTTTGGTTTATGGAAAAGCCTGCCATTGTTGTTCGACATCTGGTTGTTACTGTTTACATTCCTTTGTTGAGCCTTTATCTTCATAAGCTTTTTAGCAGGTATATGTTGAACACTTCTGTTTCATGGTCAAGACAGGATCAGAGGCCATGGATACTGACAGCTGATTTGTCTGTTTTATTCTGTCTTTTTCCATGACTAGAACAACTGCCTCGTCTTGATTTATAAGCAAAGCCTGGAAAACCTACAGAACTGTGTTTTGTGGTTTATCTAGGAATAATACAGAAAATATTGCTGTTATTTTTAGTGAAGAAAATCAATTTTGTATAATTTATTTCAACCTAAATAAAATGTGAATTAAAAAAAAATTACTGTAGGGCTGGCCGAGTGGCGCGATGGTTAAGAACTCGCTTGGGATGCCAGAGGGCCCCAGTTCAGATCCCACATATGAGGGCCAGTAACTCTGCCCTCTACAGCTAAGATGCTGAATAACAGCTCAACCTGGAGCTGGGATGCTGTGAGTCGCCGGTGACGGTGTAGGCTGCAGCCCCTGCGGCAGTGGGTTGCCATGGGCTACCATGTGTAGCCAGCAGCCAGCGTGAGTGGCTAGCAGCCGCCATGAGAGGCCGTCCAGAAGCCGGTGACTGATCTGCCTCGCCCAGGAAGAGCGCAATGATGGTGCCAACTTGGGCCAGTGAAGCAACGTCCTTCACAACTAGGCTGAAGAACAACAACAACAACAACAAAAGGACAGCAACTTGTGTGTTCCCCTTCCCCCAATTCCCCAGCGCTGTTCCCATCCCCCAATTCCCCAATTAAAACTAAATAAATAAAAACAAGTGCTTTTCTTGGGCCGGCCGAGTGGCACGTTGGTTAAGAGCTGGATTGGGATGCCAGCTCTGAGCAGCAGGACCCAGGTTCGGATCCCACATGAAGGCCAGTGACACTGCCCTCTACAGCTAAGATGGTGAGCAATAGCTCGACCTGGAACTGGGCTGCCATGAGTTGCCAGCGATGGCATAGGCTGCAGCCCCTGCTGCAGTGGGCTGCCATAAGCTACCATGAGTGGCCAGCAGCCAGCGTGAGTGGCCGGCAGTCAGCGTGAGCTGCCAAGAGCTGCTGTGAGCGGCCGTCCAGGGGCCAGCGACCAATATGCCTCACCCAGGAAGAGCGCAATGATCACAATACCAACATGGGCCAGTGAAGCAATGTCCTCCACAACAAGACTGAAGAACAAACAGACAGCAACTGGTCTGTTCCCCTTCCCCGATTCCCCAACGCTGTTCCCTCCTCCAATTCCCCAATAAAATCTTAAAAAAAAAAAAAAAATGAAACCAAGTGCTTTTCTATGAGGTTAGAAAAGGCATTCACATAATCCAAGAGCCATTTTCTAAAGTGTTCATTCCACTCAATATCATCTATCATTATCCAATAGTTTTTTATATTTTTTCCATTAAATATAAAATGCTGATATTGAAGTTCACAAAATAATTACTTCTAAGATGTATATTACTTGTGAAATTCATTTTCTCAATCTGTTATCCAGCTTAAAATAGTAAGAAAAAACGAAAACTTACACTGAAATGTTTGTACAATCAATTCTAATGACTGGTTCACACTAACAAAACTAGGAAAATAGTAAATCTACAGTTTGTATAATAAATAAAATGTTTCAATACATAAATAGAAGATTTACACATCCAAAATACAATACATATACAAAATATATCTCTAAAATTTAATGAAACTACAAACTACTATAATTTTCATTATAAATTACACATATATTTCAATATAGAAATATATTTCCTCTAACATTTTAAATTTCAGAGATAACTTACAGGTGGTATTATGGAGAATAATTCTATATACCAAGCTTTTTAAGGAAAGGGTATGACTGGGATAATATGTACAATTTTTGAATTATGGCAACAGCACTATTTTAAGGAATAAAAAGATAAATATAGTGTTCCATTTCTGTATAGGCAGCTAATACTGAAAATAAATGGGAAGATAACATATTTTCAATATCCTTGAACATCAACTCTGTAGTATGGTGTAGGCCAAATTGAGGGGTTTCTATAAAGGCAAATTACTAGGTTGCTATCCCATTTCATTATTTACAAAAATTACTTTAGAAGCACTCTTCCAAGGCAAAAATGTATTTTAATCTGTCTCAAAAGTTAATAAATATACTGCTTCTCAATATTCCAAAGCCTGTATGATAAATCCCCACTTTAGAAACTTTACAATATGGTCTTTATATATATATATATATATATATATATATATATATGATTAGACAAACTAATAACTCAGGGGTAATGGAAACCAATTGAAGACATTTATTCCCCTGCTCAAATAAACATTTGATGAAAGTGTTATGAAAGAAAAAGAAAAGTTATGATGATGCTTAAGAATACTTTACTAGGTGAGTGGTAAAAGGGTAGGTGTTCAACATTTAATACCATACCAGTGCTTGCCTATTTTATAATTTTGGCCTGCTGTATTAGTTATTTAAGGAGATGTTATTTCAGTCACCGAGTTATTTAATGAGAAGCTTTCGATAATTTTAAAGTGACTTGAGAAAAATCTATTCTTTCTGAAAGTTGATACGTAGTGTTTTTATCTATTTATCATTAGTTTGAGGGATTTCTATTGTCCTTGGATAATTTATATTCTCCTCAAATTTGTATAATCTTTCCAATAATGAGTATACAGTGAGTTAACATCTCTTACAATTGTACTTACTTTCAGAAAGTATATTTTTTCTGCAGCCGATAAGGAAATAATTTTACAAATATAAATTAATCTGCCATTCACATCTCATTCCTATATATCCCATGCCGTGAGTCACTTTAACATAGCATTTTGGTTTCAAATGTTATCTTCTAAATAAAGCCTCCAATTTCACGGGTTGGGGGTGTGGGGGTAAATATACAGTCTGATTAAAATGTTTAAACATATTAAATATATAGCATACATAACAACTTAATTGCTGCTGATCCACTGATATTTATTTTCTGTTTCTTCTTTTTGGGCTCTTTGTTCTTCTCGGTGGTTGGCTGCAGTCCAAAATGTTATCTTTTTGAGTACTTGTTGCAGAAGTTTAGGAGGTAATAAAGATATTTGATTTTCTAAAATTACAGCATTTTTACCAATGCAGTCAAGGCAAGACCTGTAAACAAAACATAACAGAATTATTAGTATTTAAATTATAATATAAAATATACATAGGTAAGTATTCTTAAAAATAAAAATCATTACATAATTTTTACATGATAATGTATTTTCCTTCGTGTTGTTAGGAACAGGATTGGATATATGTTCTTTCCAGAGCACCACAATAATTGTATATTTTTATAGTATAGAGACTGTATCTGATCCAAAGCCAATGGAAACAGAAATTACAACTTACCATGCATAATGCTCTTTAAGTTAAAAAGATTCAGACTTAATTTCAAAGCAGGTTAGTCTATAGCAGACCCTTTTCCACATATCCTTACAGCCCAATAACCGCTCTTCTTTGAGAACTGTCTTTTTCTTCCATCACTCCATGAAGCACCTGACAGCCATTTTTACATCACGTGACCTGTCCTCCTCACACCCCCTCTATCAGTGACTGCACTGGGTTGCACTTACATTGACCTAGAGAGCAGAGCGCAGGTCTGAAGAGAAGAATGGAGCACCGATACAGAAAGAGCCAACAAAAGACCACCTGAGGTTCCCCTTTTCTGGGGGCCTCCTATTCGTTGGTTTTCTCCCTTGGATTCCGCTAGAGAGCCTGTCCTTTCAAATACAATCCCTTTTTTTATCTTAAGCTACTTTGAAGAGGGTTTTGTACTTTATTAAAACTCCCCCAAAAACTCGATTAAGAACTATCCAAAAAAGCATCTATTTCAACTGATAAACTTTAATTTAAAAAGCTAAGTAATTCTTTCAAAACTCTAAAATATAGATTCATTGGATTCTGCTGTGGTTAACCTCAGTTGTCATTTTACAAGGATTGACATTCTAGACTTTTATATTGTCCACACTTTCATGAAGCCTTTTCTCTCTGCTCTGTGAAAACTCTAAATAAGCAGTAAGAATGAAAATGCCCCACATAGATACATAAGGGGTACAAGAAAGTGAAATACATCTGTGTAGATTAAATTGCTGCTATGGAGACACTGTAGCTCCCGTGTCCCTTCCAGAATGAGGGGAGAGGAGAGTCAGACAAGTGGATGGACTATGTCATTACCTATTTGTTGAGTCACTGATTCAACAAGTATTTATTAGTGTGCACTATATATTAGGCACTAGCTTAGGAGTAGGAAACCCAACATTTAGGAAAACTATTTCAACCTTGAATAAGATTACAATTTAGTGGAGAAGATAAACAATTACAAATAAAGTTTTATAAATGTTCTGACTAGAAAATGAAATTCCCATGACAGGTGTACAGATCTACGGGAATCAGATAAGAAGAATAACCAAGACAGCCTTAGCAAGCTAGGGCAAGTTTCCAGATGGGAGGTCCAAGCTGAGACCATGAGAGTCTCAACAAATTAAATAAGGTTTTCCTGACAGAGGAGCCACAGCTATAAAGCCCTAGAGATGAGATAAGATTTATTACAGAAACTGCAATTCAGTGGTTCAAATGTAGCTGGAAGGCAGAGTGTGAGAGTGGGGGCAGGGCAAGAAATGAGGCAGAGAAGTGAGTGGAGGCCCTGAACACTGCGGTGAGGAATCTGACAAGGGCAGTGGGAACCATTGAAGAGTCATCACAATAAGGAATGTGCATATGCTTTGATCCACCAATATTCCTTCTATGAATTTATCCTGCGGAGATATGTATGTTTTCCAAAGGAATATATGGGAGTATTACATACATAATGTTTATAATTGCCAAAAATTGTAGATTTTTGTAGACTAGTAAATAATTTGTACTTCCAAGAAATAGAACACTACATAACTATCACAAACATATAGATCTATTACACTGAATGATTTTATATTTACATGAAAGATATCCATAATATGAGTTTTAAAAGCAGATTATAAAACAGCATGCATTATCTGACCCTTTACACATGTAAACTGCTCTACCACTGTAAGGGTGACACTGTATCTTCTAATTTGAGATTTAAGCCTCTATTGTAATTTAACAACATAATTTAGTTTAGGACTTAAAAACACTTTGCTTTGCTTCCCTCCTTAATGACTGTTTGCTCGAGGCCATATGCATACCAGCTTTAATGACCGTGTTTACTTTGACTGGAAGAGTCTTTTCAACACCTGCCTAAGATCCACCCTGATCCTTGAAACCAACCAGACTCTGGGAAGTGCCTTCTTTTCTTTTTCAAATCGCCCAAGAACTGCTGGACCACCTCTCCCTTTCCTTTATTCTGCCTCTTCTTAAGTGTCTATAAAATCTTCTGGCCTTGTGGGAAACAAAGAGATGGCCTTAGGACAGGAGTCCACCATGCTGCCGGAATGCCAGCATTTCAATAAACCTGCTTTTCTTTCCACCAACCTTGCCTCTGGATTATTGACGTCACCAGCGACAAGCAGCCCGACCTTAACCCTAACCTGGTACCAAGACCAGTGATCTCTTGGAACGGTTAAATCCACAATGTTTTTCATTTTAAAGTCTGGAAGGATACACACCACACTCTTAACAATGCTCGTTATGGGTGATGGTTCATAGGTGATCTTTATTTTACCATATACTTTGCATATTTACAAATTTTCTTGGTAAATATACTTTATTTTTTATCAGAATAAATAATAGAGCTAATATAATTCTTTGAGAAGAACCATGTCGTATTCATCTTTGTTTTTTCCCAGTAAGTGCTAAATGCCTCCTGACTTCAAATTTGAAATAAAATGATTACTCTGGCTGCACTGTGGACAACTAGTTGTGGTGAACAATAAATACTACTGAATTCCTGCTATATTCTGGTTTTGGTGTATCAAATCATGCTCAGTATCCAAAGGGCCTGCACCCATTCACAGAAGCTCTGTTCTAGGTGCAAAGGGTAACACCAAGAAGCCTAACTGATGGTAGCCCTTAGTTCACCTCAAATATAGGCCCATCCAGTCTGGCGTTTTGCTCTCTCTCACTGCTATACTGGTTCATCTTCCCCATCGCTGTTCATCTTTGGGGAAGAGAGACTATTCGGAGACGAGACCCCTGCCTGACCAGTGACCTGGACCGAGGCCAAGATGGGGAGATTGCTTCCCGCAAACTCCCTGTAGACTGTTTGATCCTAATCGATGTTCGTTATGACATCAATCAGCAGCCCTCCCCTGGAACAGGCCATTTTCTGGAGCTGGACAAGCATGCAAAGTCACAAGTCACTTCCTGTACCCGGTAGCTTTCACGTATGGGTACCCATGACTACCCCCCCAGCCCTTTTAACCTGTATAATAATTTGGTGCCTGCCAAGTGGCGCAGGGATCCATTTCATATTGCAGCCGCCCTAGACCCGCCTCCTACGTAAGCTTCCCTTAATAAACTGTTAATTACCAGACTGGAGTGGCCTGCCTTTCTTCAGTCTTTCCCTGCCCTCTGTTTACCGAGGTACATTTTCAGTCCTGGGACCTCTCCCTGGGGCTATGCGTACTAACAATATTCCCTCCCAGACCTATCCTTTGTGCTTTTTGGAACACTAGTTGTATCTACAAACACCCCTGCTTCCTCTGACTTTCTACCCTAGCTTTCATTGAACTCTAAAAAAACTGAGTTCCCTGGTGGTCTAGTGGTTAGGATTTGGCGCTCTCTCTCTAAAAAAACTGGTTTGTGTGCAGCCTTCTTGAGAAAAGAATACATACAAATTATCCTTCATCTCCGCTTTCATATTCAAAGAGCGGATGTTCGGATTCTCCTCGCTCCTGGGTGCTGCCTTCAGCCAGCTATCATTTCACCTTCAGGTGTTGCCATCTATTAATCTCCTGCTTCCCCCGCCCCCTCATTGAGCACTTTGGCTCTGGCTCACCAGTCTTGCCTCTTCACTGATTTTAGCATCTGTGTGGAAAACCCTTTTTATTCTTTATGACCTCACGCACTCAGGACAGGTTCACCTCTGAAATCTTAAACTTCCATCCTCTCCTCTTGGACCACAACCCTTGCATCCTTTTAATTCTTATACTCGCTAACTTACTACTCCTTTGACTCTTTCCGATTAGCCAAATAATAAGACCCCTCCAGTTTTAACTTTCTTTCCTATCCAGCATGGTCCATATGCACTTCATTCTCTTGCCAGCAATTTTAGTCCCTGTCTCCACTGTGCCTGTTACACCATCCTGGCTAAATTCCAACCCCACATAAATTTAGCCAACCATCTCTTTTCTGCACCTGCAGCCTGGCTGCTCAGTGCTGCTGGAGAAAACCATGTTTATGCCGACATGGCTCGCCATATTGCTTCTATTCTATCTCAGCTGAGTCCTCCTGAGTGAGTGCTCAGCACCACTGTGTTAAAGACCCCAAGTCAGCATCTTCTCACAGTCACCTCAGCAGCTGTTTCAAGTCTTCACCCCCTTCTTCAGTTCATATCCTCACCTCTCTTTCTTATCAGATGGCCTCACTATCAGCCCTGCCCCCAACGAAGAAATCCATCTCTCTCCATATCTATACATCCTTCTTTCCCCACTATTTTAAAAGTATTTTTTTCCAGGCAAGGGGCAATTCAATTACTTGTTCACTAAAATGTACCAATTATGTCTAGCCCACACCTCTCCATATATTCAACTATTTAATATATAGTTCCACAAGAAGTCCCAAAAGCGCTTCAAGTTCAACATGTCCAAAACAAAATTTATCCTTTCTCCCCCATCCCACCTTCAACCCCACTGCCTTCTCCATATTCTCTTTATCACTAATTCTTCCCTCCTCTTTTCCTTGGCATCCATTCAACTACCAAGTCCATTCTACCTTCTAAATATCGCTATTTACCTCCTTTCTCCAGCTCCACAGCCACATTCTAGATCAGACCCTCACTTTGTTCCTGATCACTGCGATGGTTTCTCCCAACTTTCCTAACCCAGTCTCATAGCCCCCCCAGTCTCTCATCCACTGTTACCAGAGGAATCTTCTAACTTGTAATATGATCATCTCATTCCTCTGCTCCCAACTTTTCAAAGCAACTCCTCTACATGGGAGACAAAGCGCTAGATAACATTCAGTTTTGATTCCTTGTCTAATCTCATTTCTTACAACTCCCCACCTCATACTTATATCCAGGAATATTCAAGAACTCAGTTTCCAGAACACACCATGCTCTTATGCATACCTTGCACTAACACCTCTGCACTGTTTCTTCAAAGCAAATTCTTGCCTCAAACTCGTCTTTACCTGCAAAGAATTCCCTAGCCTTCACAATCTTAACCACATCAATAGAGGGCCTTCTCCAGTATTCTCATATAGAACTTTCTATATGTTCCTCTTAACGCAATTTTTATTTTTCTATTATAGTTGTTTGAATCTCTGCCTTCTACTAATGGCGATTTAATGGAAAGGTCATGATTTTTCATTTCATAGCACAGTGTCTTCCCATGATAGGCACTTAAATATTATATTTATTGATCCCTGCATATAAAGAACTTGCATTTTACTTAGGGAAAGTAGTAAGCTTCACAGCAAAAGTTAAGTAACAATACAGGCGATATAAATCATTACAGTAGCAATTTCCAAACTTTGCCTGCACATTAGAATTACCTTGGGATCTTTCAAAAATTCCCAAGTCCACGCAACACCCCAGACCAGTTAAATCACAATCTGTGGGGATGGAACACAGGCATTGATATTTTTTGAAGTTCCCCATGACATTCTAATGAAGACAAGTGTAGGAAACACTTCGCTAACAGAAAGAGCAGTTAAGACTTTAGGAAGGTCCAGTTTGAGCTAATCCAATGGTTTTCAAGTGGTTCAAAATGTAGAGTGTCCAGAGACATTCTATATCTTTTCTCTCTTGTTTTCCTTCTCTCATGTTATTCCTGCTGCATAAAATACCTATCCTTCTTCACTCTGCTTCACTCAAATCCTTCCTCCCAACTCTTGCAGGGAGAAATGGGCACTTCTTTTCACAATCCTCCCACTAAAGTTTACATGCACTCCTTTTACAGTAAGCCTACGTGAGCTGAGACGATGTAAGTCACACTGCCAATTTAGTAACAGTTTCGGGATGATGAAAAAAGACTACAAAATTAAATACATATGTATGTGTTTATACTAGACACACTCTGATTTCAGGAAAGTTAAAATATGAAAAAAGTAAGGCTTAGAATCAAGGAAACACATTATATTTAATATTCCCATATGAACTAAATGCAATTTCACTCATAAAACAAAACTACTGAATATTTGACTATACTGTATATTTTAATTTTTAAAAGTAACATTGATGTATGGTTCACCATTACAAATTTGATTATACTCTTAGGAAAATGTAAACATTTTCTTAAATTCAAGTCATAATCTACCTGAAAAATATTACAAGGCTTCCCAAAAAGGAGGAAGAAAGAAATTATCATATATTAATACGACATATATGTAAAATAATAAATTTACTTACCTGAGTAGTGAATAAGGCTGTGTTTGAAATATCAATAAATCATTACAGTGACCCTAATCAACAAAAAAGAAGTTATCAAGGTTTTTTATGTAAATAACAATGCATTAATAATTGAATATTTTTATTTTGCAAAAGAAATTATGTAAAGCAGCAAATAAATCTCTCTCTAGCTATTGATACACACATGCATGCACAAACATACACATCCATACACATATCTAGTTAGTATCCACACAAACTTTAGATACGTGGTTATCATTTTATCAGTGACCAAATTTTTACCTAACCACAGCCATATAATCACAAATTTAAAAATCAGAAACTTGGTTTTCTCTTAGAATACTGAATTAAAAATGAGAATAGTAGTGTTTTTCAAGCTTTTTTGTTTTTTAAGCAGAACTTTTTTTCTTCCCAATGACTCTTAACTTCTCTTTACCCATTCTCCCTTTTCCGGGGGGGAGGGGGGGTGTTCCAGGATTCCCTGAGAATTCCTTTTTTGAAAATCACAGATCCTGAAGATGTTCTGAATATGATTTTCTCCTCTAAAAAATAATGTGGAAGTCAGCAGAAAATTTTTCTAATCATTTCAAATTGGTCTTTAGAATTTCAAAATTTATGATCATGATTTAGATCAAAATTCCTATTTTAATGATAAACTTTGTATCTTAAATAAAGATTTCTAGTGCCAAGAAAAAGAAGACAAAATGTGCTTTTTAATTAAATGCAAAGTTGTAGTTTTAATCTTTTATTGAAGCACTGAATTCTCAAACAAGTTCTGAAATTTTCAATACACATAACATTTAAATGGGAGGCCTCTGGACTAGGAAATAAACCAAATTTCCTGGAGAGAAGCCACCTTATTTCCTGGAGTGAAGCCACGTTATTCCAGTGTTCTCCACTCTGCCGGAACAACTCTTCAGACAACTATGTCTGCAGAGACGACAAGGAGCTGGCGCCTCTTGGTTGGACTCTGGCTTGTTCTAGCCCCTCCCTGACGGCTCAGTCCTGCTATTCCCAAGGTTCCATGTAAACCAGAGCAACCAGTCCTCACTCCTATCCCACCACATACAGAGGAGGAGGTGGCCACCCTGTTCTGAATTTCCCAAGTTACCAGGATTGAAAGAACAATACTCTCCAATGTTCCTCATTTATTCCTTTGACCTTAGTTTTATCAGATTTGTAAACCAGAATGCTTTTTAAAAAATTTTTTAATTTAAAAAAATTTTTTTATTAAACCAGAATGTGTTAAATGCAAATGTAAAACAGGGGTGAAGCAGTGGCAAAAAGATGCATAAAATAAAAGAAAATACACTGTATTTCAAAGTACAATAGTTTCCTCTTGAGGGGAGAAGCTAGCATGGATGATGTTCATTATTGTTAGGTAGCAAATTTCATGAGTACTTATTATTATACTTAATAGTTTATATATACATTATATTTGTTTTATGTAGCAAATATTACTTACAAATATTTTAATTCAATAAAATTATAAGCACCCATACTATGTGGAGGCTCAAAGAGAAAAGGAAAAGTCATCCTTTAAAAGCTCTTCTTAGTAATTTGTCTAATGAAGTTAATAGATCTATTTTGATTTGTAAACCCAAGATATCCTGAAATGCTTCACAAAAGCCACTTATTCTGAAGATTAATCACACCACAGAGTAACATTTCATGCCCGTCCATATTTCGCAATGTGGGAATGTCAACAATCTTGTTGACTAGCCATTTAGGCTGAATCACACAATTACTCAGAGGAAATATTTAGATAAGAAATTTTCTTACTGTATCCAAGGAAAGTAAATCATCTTTGCTCCCACCAAATACCATTATTTCATTTTCTTTTCCCAAACAGGCTGTGTGCCATAACCTGTGAAAATTATAAACAGAGTGAAATACTATCAAGGAAGAAACTGCATATCACATATAAATGAATTTTAAATTGCACGCTCTAAACTTCAATCTATTTCAAAAGAGCCATGATTGAACTTGAATCTTTGGTATATCCTCAAAGAGGGTAGATTTTAAAGACTCCTCTAGAATCATTAGAGGATTAGATTCCAGAGTTCATTAAATTACATCGTTTCACTTAAGGAGATGACTTCCGATAATTCTTTCATATTATATCCCCCCATCTTTTTCCAATCTCTTTATCTCACAGATACCGAAATAATTTAGTCACAAAATAAAATAATTTAAAAAGGAACTGATCAGCCAGCCTATTGTAGAAATAGACATCTTTCCCATTTTTCTGATTACTATCTGACTCATCATTTTTGACTTTTTCTTTCCTGTTCTCTGTTCCCCATCACCTGACAAATCCAATTTGGCATTTTACATTTACATTGTCACACCATTTGTCACTGTGGGTACAGAACACCATAACACGTTTCCCTTTTTTTTCTAAATCTAATCTCTCTCAGGTACATACAGCTGATAAATAATATTTTTCAAATATTGTGTTTAACCATGGACATTTCCTGATCAGGAAGCATTTGTGCCACTTTTCTTATCCTAATATTTATAACCGACAGCTATTTATTTTTCCCATAAAACTTAATTCTTGCCTCTCCCCAAATGAACCCTCTACTTCAGCCAACTTCATTTGTTTGCATTTCCTGAGAGAATCTCATATCTTGCATTTCCTGAGAGAATCTCATATCTATCTCTAGGCTTTTGTTCACTCTGTTTTCTAGGCTTAGAATGAGAACTCATTCTCTCGGGGACTTAATGAAACAGGCTCAAACTCCCCAGGAAGTGGTCCAAATGCTTCCCAAACTAGCTGTCACTCTCTCTGTTCAGCACCTTTCAGCATGTATGTGCTCATTCTATCATCTTCTAACTTACATTTGAAGATAAACTGTTCTATGTACTTCTTTTATTGTTTGATGTATGTGTCTTTAGCTCCCTACAGAAACTGGAAGGTCCCTAAGGTCAAAAATTGCCACGATGGTGTGCTGGAACCAGTTTAGGGGCTAGTTAAAGCTGATTGTATGCATCTCCGTCAACTCCAGGTTCAGTGACATCATGTCAGTAGCTTTCTTGAAATTGACCATGGTGGAAATCAGCAAATGCTACAAATTAGGGCTTTTTGTTTTATTTTTCTTGGAGAGCAATGTTAACTGTTTACCAGCACACCACTGGAACTTGGGTAATCAAATTTCATGCTTCTCCTTAAAAATATTAATATGGGGCCAGCCAAGAGGCTCACTGGTTAAGTGTTCGCTTGGGAGTGTGAGCTCTGAGCAGCAGGGCCGCCAGTTCGGATCCCACATGGGCCAGTGATGCTGCCCTCTACAGCTAAGATGGTAAACAATAGCTCAACCTGGAGCTGGGCTGCTGTGAGTCGCGGGCGATGGCGCAGGCTGCAGTGGGGCTGCAGTGAGTTGCTGTAAAGATACTGTGAGTGGCCGGCAGCCGGCATGAGCTGCCAAGAGCCTCCATAAGCGGCTATCCAATGGCCGGCGACCGACTACCTCACCCAGGAAGAGTGCAAGGATCACAATACCAACATGGGCCAGTGAAGCGA